GCTGAGAGTGGGCTTGCTCTTGTTTTGTGTCCCGCAGTCAGCACGGGCCAGCGGAAGACTTTCAGGAGCCGTGCCAGTATTCTCAGGAGTCCCAGAAGTTCTCCTGCCAGCTGGCAGTCCCAGAGGGAGACAACTCTTTCCACATAGTGTCCCTGTGCGTCGCCAACACTGCTGGGAGCAAGTCCAGCAAACCCCAAACATTTGAGGGTTATGGAATCCGTACGTAATCTCTTCCAGGCCTCCCTCTGCCCATGGGCTTCTTGGAGGGGCAGGGAAGGGCTGGGCGAGGGGTTTGGTGGGCAGGGGCCTTTGGGACTTTACTTGACAGAAGTCAGACTGTGGCTGACCAGGGCCCTGTCAAGATGCGCAGGGGCAGTGCTCGGGCTGGGGTGGCATCCTGCTGTTGGGGGTTTGCACAGCCTCCGTGGGTCTTTCCCGAGTACCACACTTGCTGCCACATAAGAGCCATGTGCCCTTTTCCCACAGTGCAGCCTGACCCGCCTGTCAACATCACAGTCACCGCTGTGGACCGCAGCCCCCGCTGGCTCGTGGTCACCTGGCAAGACCCGCCGTCCTGGAATTCGTATTTCTACAGGCTACAGTTTGAGCTCCGATACCGGGCTGAACGGTCAAAGACATTCACAACATGGATGGTAACATCTTCTTTTACTTCGGGGTAGAAAAGTGCCCCTGGATACTCAGGGGTAGTAGAAAGGATACTAGAAAGAAAAAAATGGTCTGGGTGCTGTTCTACACTCACCACCTGCATGGGCCTGGATAAGTCTCTAAGCCTTTCTGAACCTTGGTGGCATCATTTATAAAGTGAAAATAATAATGCCAGACCAATGTCCCCTTCCTAGGCCTGTTTGTGAGAGTGAGAGTGACCTGGGGAGTGAGTGGGGCTATGAGCATGTCAAGGGTGTGGCCTGCAGGATTCTACGGTGCGTGGAGGTGGGGCAGTGACTTCTAGCTTCTGCCTCTGTTGGCCCAGAAGGCATCCCTGTTTCTGAGCTGCTAGGGTGGTGTCAGCCTTTGGAGAATCTGTGCCCAGCTGAGTCACCCACTAGACCCTAGAGAGGGAGCAGCTAAAGGGCAGGGGGCAGCCATGGTCATCCATGTCCCTGTGGAGCTGCCTAACCAGAGCCACCCAGGCTCTGCCCCAGAGTAACTGTACCTCTGCCCTCAGGTCAAGGAGCTCCAGCATCGCTGCATCATTCACGATGCCTGGAGTGGCATGAGGCACGTGGTGCAGCTGCGAGCCCAGGAGGAGTTTGGACACGGCCTGTGGAGCGAGTGGAGCCAGGAGGTCATGGGCACGCCCTGGACAGGTACTGGTGGGCACGGAAGGGATGTTTCAGCTTTGCTTCAGGTATCAGTTACCTCTTGCTATGTAATAAGTCACCCCCAAACTCGGGGTAAAACAGAAACCATTTATCTGCTCAAGATTTTGAAAATGAGTCAGCTAGGCCGCTCTTATGCTGGTCTTGCCTGAGACAATAAATGCAGTTGCATCAGGCCCGTATTACCCAAGGTGGCCTCACTCACATGTCTGACAGTTGGTGCTGGCAGGTGTTTGGGGCCCTTGGTTCTCCCTGAAGCCTGTTGCCTTCCAGGAGGCCAGCCCAGACTTGAGGACGGGAAATCATTTCACAACTTGATGGCAGGAGCCTCAAAGAATTTGTAGCTATATTTAATCTACCACCGTTACTAATGCTTTTTATTTTAAAAAAGATGTTAAAGGCCCTGGCTAGTGTGGCTCAGTTGGTTGGGCATTGTCCCATGCACCAAAAAGGTTGCTGGTTCAATTACAGGTCGGGGAACATGCCCAGGTATTGTAGGGGATGTGCAGGAGGCAGCTAATTGATGTTCTACTCTCACATCGATGCTTTTCTCTCTCTCTCCCTCTCCCTTCTTCTCTCTCTAAAAAATCAATAAATATATTTAAAAATAAAAATAAATAATAAAAAAGATGTTAAAGCTAGTAATAATTGCCTTTGAAGAATTATTGAAATAAGTGTGTTTGTTATAGAACATGAAAAATTCCAGAAAATACGAAGAATAATTATCAGTCGTATTCTTAACAGCTAGAGAAAACCAGAGAGAACATTTTAGTATACTTCTTTCCTTTCTCTAAGTGTATTTGTGTGTGTTTATTTTATATATGTTATATATATGATATAAAATATTGTGAACATTTCCATGTTATTAAATGTTACTAAATATTTTTGGAAATGTATTGTTTAGTAATTGCATGATTAACTTTTGTTTTTAAACCTGTGGGGTTTTTAAAAAATGTTTTTATTTATTTGAGGGAGAGAGGAAGGGAGAGACAGAAAGAGAGAGAGAAAGAAAGAAACATCAATGTGAGAGAGAAACACCGATCTGTTGTCTCTCCTACTCGCCCTGGCTGGGGATCGAACAGCAACCTGGGTGTGTGCCCTGTCCAGGAATTGAACACGCAACCTTTTGGTGTGTGGGACGATGCTCCAACCAGCTGAGCCACCAGCCAGGGCACCATGGGAATCTTTTTTAACTTTTGAATTTTTCATCAAATTAATACATGCCCAAGGCAAAGAAGCAAAGAAGGCCTTATAACAACCAGTGTCCCTTGTCCCATCCCTTCCCATTTCTAGTCCTGCCTTCTAGAGGAAGCTGCTTGACTCTCTGTTTCGATTTCTTCTGTTGGTACCCTCCTGAACTCTGAACAACAATCTAATATGGCTAGTTTTTGTTTTGTTTTTCTGAGAAAACAATTTGAGACAATATCTTTTGACTGTCTCCTGGGAAAAATTAGGATGTAGCAGACCTAGACCCAGTGCAGGAATCTCTCTAACTACAACTCAGAGTGGTTACCCCCCCTCTGTTTGAATGCTTCCAGAGATGGAAAGCTTACTACCCATTGTAGCAGCCTATCCTGTTGTTCCCAGTGTTCTTGCAGGATGGCTTCCAGGCTTGTGTCCGTGTCAGACCTCTTTAGCTTATTAGTGTAACTGAACCAAATTAGTCCTTTTTAAATACTAAGCAATTTAAAAAGAGTTAAATACTCATTTATTGAGTGTGTATGGATAAAAAAGAAAAGGTAGAAATGACATCCATTGCCCAGGCCTATCCCCACTCCTGCCACTTTCTCCACCCCTGCCCCAGGCCCCTGGGGGAAGACTTTTATGTAGAGGCTGCACACTCCTCCCCCAGAATGGATGCTGTGATGTGATGTGATGGTGTTTCCTCTAACATGGCTTTGCAGTTTGGGTGTCCTTGTCTTTATTGTCCTGGGAGAGCCAGAGGTGCAGGCTTGGGCCTTAGGGTGTCTTCCTTATTGGATGTACATAATGTCAATGCAGCTCAGATCTTTCTTGGTGCTCTCCCCATCTCCTGACCATCAGGAGTGGAGGGAGCTTTCTACTGGACCCTTTTCTTAAAAGCTTCTTTCCTCCTAAGACCTGGCTAAGAAGGGAGGCCTAACTACCGTATCTTACTTAGGAAAACCATTTAAATAAATTGCAACATCCTTCAGGCTAGACTGTGTTGACCTGTTCCTAGTTGTCTTTGATTTGTGTGCACTTTCAGCCACAATATACTCATTATGTGAATGCGGAACATTAATAGGGCCTTGGGAGCCTTTGCGAAGGAGAAAATTACTTATAGCATTGAGCAGAGGAAATGTTCCAGATACAGGCTGACACCTGTTTACCTTCTGTCCCAACCACTGAATTTAGGTAGTCACAAACAGCTTTAAGAAATCCTGTTTTCATTAGTTCTTTCTTTAAAAAATTTTTAAATTGTGGTAAAAATATATATAACTTAAAATTTACTATTTTTAAAAAAATGTATTTTTAATGATTTCTGAGAGAGATCGAAACATCAATGATGAGAGAGAGTCATTGACCTACTACCTTCTGCATGCCGCCTCCTGAGGACTGAGCCCAAATCCCGGGCATGTGCCCTGACGGAGAATCAAACGGTGACCTTCTGGTTCCTAGGTCAACGCCCAACCACTGAGCCATGCCAGCCGGGCAGGGAGATTCCCTATTTGAGGGCAGGGCTCTGAGTCACACGTCTTGGGGTCCCTGTTCTAGCCAGCAAGGACTGATCACTGCTGATAGCACCTGGCAGTGACTCATTGAGACTGTGCCACTGATGGCATGGCAGGAAGAAGAGGTTATTGACAGGGCAGCTGGTCAGTTGCTCTCATTAGAGACAGCTGGCATCTGGGGTCCCCAAAAACCCCTTTGTAAAGTGGGGCAGGTGCCTGGGAAAAGCCTACTGGACGTAAGAGGGCTCTTTCTTTCTTTTTTTAAATTTTTATCCTCACCTGAGGATATTTTTTCCATTGCTTTGAGAGAGAGTGGAAAGGAGAGAGAGAGAGAGTGGAAAGGAGAGAGAGAGAGAAACATCCATGTGAGAGAGGCACATCGATTGGCTGCCTCCCAGACGCGCCCTGACCAGGGCAGGGGATGGAGCCTACAACCCAGGTACATGCCCTTGACCGGAATCCAACTCGGGACCCTTCAGTCCGTGGGCTGATGCTCTAACCAGGGAGCCAGACTGGCCAGGGCAAGGGTTATTTCTTGCTCCTAACAAATTCCTTTCACTTTGTTTCATACCCTGCTCACCTACACTCAGAAAAGAATTAGAGCTACGTGGGACAGGTACTGGTTACAGGAGGTGCTAGAGGTTTGCATTTGCAAGGCCTTTGGAGTGCCCTGAGGCCAGGGCTGGGGACTCTCCAGGTAGGTGAGTCTCCCTGGCCTTGATCCCTGGAGCTATATACAGCGGTTGGCAAAAGTAGGTTTACAGTTCCTATGGAAAACACACACAATAATTAATGAATAATAATACGAGAATAAGCTGTGTTTACATATTCACAACTGTAAACCTGCTTTTGCCCACCCCTGTATTGTCATCTCCAACCCTCTGGCCACCCCATTCGGGGGAGCGCATTTTCCAGCAGCCCCTCCTGTCTCTCTGGTGTGCGAGCACTGTGCACGCTCCACGCTCCTGCTACAGGCATCTTTCCAAATCACTACTAGCCTGCATCTGCCACTCCCCAACCTACAGCCAGGGCTCCCGTTACTTTCCCCGTGAAGTTCAAAGTCCTGAGCTTGTGCGGAGGGCCTTCTTGGGCTGGCCGCCAACCTCTCCCTCGTGCCTGGCCCTCCTTCCCTGACCTCATTCCCTCCAGCCGGACTGAACGCGGCCCAGCTTCAAGTGATGCCCTTCCATCCTCACGCATTCCTCCGGCCAACTCCCCCTTCCACCCCGCTCACCTTCGCATCCCCCCTCCCGCATCCCCGCTGCCTGCCCAGCCTGTCTGCATAGCTCGGAGGTTCCTAGACTAAGGGGTTTCACAGGTCTGTAAAATCTCACAAAGGACCCAGTAAGGTCACCAACTTTTCTTTAACCCTCACCTGAGGATGTTCACTGATTTTAGAGAAAGAGGAAGGGAGAGAGAGAGAGAAAGAAAGTGGGGGGGGGGAGAAACATGGATCGTTGCCTCCCATATGGGCCTTGACTAGGGACTGAACCCGCCGCCTTTGGTGTGTGGGATGACGCTCCAACCAACTGAGCCACCCGGCCAGGGCTAAGGTCACTGTCTTTTAATTTTGCTGAGTAAGGACATCAAATTAAACAAGAAAAAAATAGCTGTTGCTACTTACCATCGCCATTATTTCGTAAAGAGAGAATGAAACGAGGGCATAAGCTCAGAGTAAGGGCCACTTGGGCGACCGTGCCCCAAGTAGGTACCCGCGGGGCCTTGCCTGGGTGCTTCTCCTCTGGCCTCAGGCAGGCCACACTGTCCTGGGGGGTGTTGGGACCCAACTGGAGGTGAGTTAAGTCTCCTCAGGAGACTGTCAGCTCTTTGTGAGGTTTTTTTAATGTATTTTTTTTTTCTCTCAAATGGGGGAGCAATGATTAACTTTTTGGTTGGTGGTTTACAGGCTGTGGAGGGAGGTGAGGCCCAGGGAGGGAGGGAGCGTGCACAGAGGGGAGGCGTTGTCTGGCCCTCGCCCCCCCTCCTGAGAGTGTCTGGCTTTGTGGTTCACCCCTCTCCTGGTTCCCTCATCTCTCTGCCACCCTATGGCCTCCCTTTTCTTTCTTCTTTCCTCTTTTAATTCTCAGCCCGCTCCTACTTTTCCTCTCTGTACTCCAACCCCTGAGCTGCGCTGATATCTTAACTTGTCATAATATACCATTTAAAATTTTTTCTAGAAAAAAATGTTTTATATTCTCTGTTCTTTCCCCCCTAGTTTTATTGAAATATGATTGATCTATCACACTGTAGTAGTTTTGGGTGTACAGCATGATGATTTGATATATGTGTATATTGTGAAATGATCAACACAATAGGTTTACTTAACTTAATCCATCACCACAAGTGGTTACAAATTTTTTTCCCCCCGTGATGAGAATTTTTACAATCAACTCTCTGAGCAACTCTCAAATATACAATACAGTATTATTAACTATAGTCACCATGCTGTACATTACATCCCAGAAATTATTGTGTTCTCTGTTCCTAATTTTGAGGGTTGGGTCAGTTTTTAAACAAATATTATCATGTTTCAGGCCAGTGTTAGGTCCTGTTAGTGTGTGATCTCAGGTGATCTGTGCAGGAGGAAGCCACTCCTTTGCTTAGAAATGAAGAAACACGGTCTAAAAGGAAGTTAAGTATCTCCACCAGGCTTACACATCTGGTATGAAGAAGGCCTCCGCCATCTTTTATATTGGGTTTCTGTATTCCAAAACTCAAGCAAGCAAACCAAAACAAATTCTTAAATTAATGGAAATAAGTATCATATATATTGATTTTAGAGAAGGGAGAGGGATAGAGAGAGAGAAACATGGATGAGAGAGAAACATAGATTGGCTGCCTCCTGCACACCTCCTGCTGGGGATCGAGCCCCCAACCTGGGCATGTGCCCTGACAGGGAATCCAACCAGTGACCTCTTGGTCCCAGTGACCTCTTGGTTCATGGGTCAGCGCTCAACCAGTGAGCCACTCCAGCTGGATGAGTTTCTTGTTTTAGAATCTCATGTGAAAAAACCCCCACAACTCACATATGGTCTTCTGTTAATCTCATTTATTAGAGTATGGTCATTCATTCATTTTATTATAAATATAAAAGCACACAGGGAGTGAATGATAGTCCCTTCCTCTCTTTCAGTATGCTAGTGAAGTGAGGCATTAGGAAATATAAAATACGTGAGAAATATAAAATGCTTTTTTTTTGGTTAATCTTCACCTGAGGATATTTTTCTCATCCTGCTTTTTTTTAGAGAGAGTGGAAGGGAGGCAGGGAGGGGTTGGGGAGGGAGAGAAAAGAGATGGTAGGTTCAGTTTCTGGTCAGGGCACATACCCAGGTTTCAGGTTTGATCCTCAGTTGGGGCATGTTCTGGAGGCAACGGATTGATGTTTCTCTCTCACATCGATGCTTCTCTCTGTTCTTTCCTCCCTCCTTCCTTCCCTCCCTCCCTCCCTTTCTCTGGGATCAATTAAAAAAAGCTATTGCAAATAACATTGTGATGAACTTTATTCTGCTTCTGCAGCCAGCCCATCAGACAGGATTTCAGGGTCCATGAATCATTAATAATGATACTTCTTCTATCCACAGAATCCACAAGTTTTTCAACTGAGACCACGCTGGAGGTATCCCCCTCCATGCAGGTGAGCTCATGTTCTTGTAAAGGGGTCAGGGCAGCAGTAACTATTGGTTAGCATTGTGACTGGCACCAGACAGAATTTGGTTTAAATCCCAGCTCTACCACTTACTAGCAATGTGGCCGTGGGCAAGTTCTGTGTCCTTCTGAAGCCTCTGTAAGACGGGCTTTCTCTTCTCGGGGCTTTCATGGTCCTGTGAAGGGTGGAGCAGTGTGGGCCTGGCTCACAAAACTGCTTTACTTAGTGGATGCTGTTTCATCTCTGAGCTTTTGGACACCACTAAAGGCTTAGTGTGCGACTCCGATTCAGCTCCTCTGAGCCCTTCCCTGTAGACTCCTGGTGTCATAATGATCTGGAAAGAGGATTACCTCTGAAGCTGCTTAAACAAATCCTTGAGTAATCCAATTTCCCACCCAAATGCTTCTACTCCATGATCCTCAATTCCCAAATGCTAAGCAGGGAGGCTCAGCACTCCTGGAGCTGGGCAGCACAGAGCAGGAGCCCGGGGTCCTGTACCTTACCCATCACAATGCCGACTGGCAGAAGCAACTCCAGGGTGAAGTCCAGGCCCCTGGGGCCAGAGAGCTCCCAACACAGGGTGAAGGGGAACTGACACTGACAGAACCTGCCAAGGCGCTAGGCCCTGAGCCTTGCATTTGTGCTCTCATTTAATCCTTACATTACCCGAGATTCGGGGAGGAAAACTGACACTCACATGGGTTAAGAAGTCTGCCCAAGGTCACATAGCCAGTAAGTGATGGGTCTGGGATTCTAGTCTGTGATTTTCCTAGTAAGTGGCGGTGTCTATGCCCTGGCACCAGACTTGTAGGACAACTTAAGCTCTTGGTGGAGAGGTAGGTGGGAAGAAATCCCCACCTTGAGTAGGCAAGGTGTAGATACAATTAATGCAAATAATAATGCAGGTGTTGAAAGTGACAGGTCAGAATTATTTCCTGGAGGCTCTAAGGAAGAACCCATATCCTTGCCTTCCACTTCCAGAGATTGCCCACATTTCTTGGCTCCCTTCCAACTTCAAAGGCAGCTATGATGGGCTAATCTTTCTCACCTTAAATCACTCCAANATGATGGTAGAATCTACAGAAATGGGCTTACAATGAGAAATGTCTTTTATAGGTATCTACTACTAATGAAGGCGATGAAAATATTCCCTCTAATTCTGCAAATACGACAAGCTTCCCGGGTAAGCACTGGACAGTTTCGCATTCCTGTGACTTAAGGCACACAAAAGGCTTGTCTCTGCAGAAAGTCCTTTCTTATTTGGAAATGTTGGCAGGGGGCAGGTCTGCTTAATGAAAGGGACTGATGGCAGAACGATTCTTTTATTACCTTATATGTCTAAGTTTGATACTGGTAGCGAAGATATTATGAGGGGACTACAAGAATAATGAGACGAATCTGTGAACTGTTTCACAATTGGCCCAGAATACAAATGGATGTGTTACAAACAAAATGATTGGAGTCTGCAGAGGAACACACGGGCGGGGGATCTTTGTTTTGAGAGCCCTTGATTTCAGTGTTTCTGTTTCCCTATACCTGCAAGACCAGGAACTTACATTTGCATAGCCTGGCCTGTGTGTCTCAGTGGTTGGAGTGTCGTCCTGTGTACTGGAAGGTCGAGGGTTTGATTCTGGGTCAGGGCATATACTTAGGTTGCTCTCTCTCTTCCTCTCCCTTCTTCCCTCTCTAAAAAAATAGCCCAATAACATTTGCATAAAAAAAGACCACAAGTACTATACTTGTTTTACTATTTGTATGGGACAAATTCAGTCCAGACTCTGAGGATTCGGTAATTGAGCGGCTCCACCTGATGGCTATTGGGCTTTCTGAAGAAGCCCTCGGCCTCTTACGCTGCCCACGCCTGGCTCTGGCTGCTCCAGCGGCCCACCCCGGTCGCAGAGCCTTCCCCATGCAGTGCACGCAGGGCTGACGTGGGACTCGGCTCGGTCTGGCTGGGCACTCGGAGGGAACCGAACCCACCCTGCTCTCCAGCAGTCTACGGTCCACTGGGCAGGCTCTGACACAGTAAAGTAATAACCGTAACAGAGCAGAGTGTGATGCAGGGCAAAGGGAAGCATAGATAAAGTAGGTGGCATTTAGGGACTTAAGAGAGCAAGTCCAGTTGGGGGAATCACAGAAAGTTCCCACTCTCAGGGGTCTCAGACTGAAGGTGGAGTTGGCGAAGTAACCAGGAGGGGCCCTTACCAGCTTGGAGTGCGACCACGGCTCAAAGGAAGTGTCCTCATCTGAGACCCAAAGGCCAAGTAGGGACTGGACAGAAAAAGGTGCAGCGAGGATGGGAAGGGTGTTCTGGGAGAGATGCAAGAAGTTGTGGGGAGAGTCCCTGGAGGGGAGAGCACATGGAATGCGGGAGCGAATGAAGATCCTATGGCTGCGGCTTGAATACCAAGTGGGGAGACAGGCAAGAGACGATGCCCCATGGAGAGCACCGCACCCAAATACTTGATTTAAAGTACCTGAGCCTCTCTGGCATCATCCTCAACGGAGCTGCCATCAGTGAGGTCCCCAAAGCTTTCTGCTTCTTGCCCCCATCTGTGCCTTATGGGGGCAGGCTGAATGCCACTAGAAAAGCCACCCTGAAAGTGCTTGGGAACCTGTGGCTGGCCACAGGTGCTCAGAAGCTCTGAGCTTGAGGTGTATCTCTTGCCAAGTGGCGGAATCCCAGGGTCTGTCAGACTCTGCGGGGAGTGATTCTTCTAGAGTGGCTTTGGCCAGAAAACTAGCAAGTGGCCTACTGTCTAGCAGAACTGTTTCCTCCTCCAGGGTGAGGTTCCTTTGAGACTCTTGATAGCAGCAGCCGAGTGGCTTATTTTTTCTCTTACTTCTGCCCCTCTCCCTTTCTTTCCCCTCTAGTGCAAGATTCTCCGATACCACTGTACACATTCCTGGTGGCCGGAGGGAGCCTGGCCTTCGGAACGCTCCTCTGCATTGGCATTGTCCTGAGGTGAGCTGGGCCCTGGGTGTGGCCCTGGGAGGCTCTCATAGTTCTTATCTGCCTAGCTTTGCCCATGCCAGGCTGGTGGCAATGAGTTGGAGAGCCACGAATGAGTCAAGATGTGTTTCAGTGGTAGGATTGGCAAGGTTAGATGATGTTAGATGGGGAGAAGGAAGGAGAGGGAGGAGGCAAGCCTGACCCTCAAATATCTGGCTTTGGTGGTTGGCAGATGGTGGGGCCACACACTAAAATGGAAAACACTGGAGGAAGAACAACTGAGCGAGAAACGGTGATTCTACTTGGGGACCACCGAGTTTGAGGTGCCTGTGAAAACCCCAAGTGGACCTATTTTGTAGACAGTTCTGGTTGTTGCTGCTTGCAGATGGTAGCTGCAGCCATGGCAGAGGGTGGGAATAAAGCCAGTGATGGTACCCTGTGGAATCCAGGGTTCTGACTCTGAAAAGTGTGTAGAGAAGGGGGAGCTGAGAAGAAAGGGGCTGAGGAGCGGCCTGAGAGGCAGAAGTGCCAGGAAAACCTGGTTGTGAAAACCAGAGGAGAGTGCTAGGCACTAAAGAAAAACCTCAGGCGCCGGGATTGCAAGATCACCATGACCTATTGTCTCCTCCAAGAGCCACATACTAAAATGATTTAAGTACCATGCGAGAAGCACCAGTGTGTGTACACAGGTAAACCTCAGGTGCTTGGTCAGACCCCATTGGGAATATTCCCTGTCTCAAAACAAGCAAACCTAGAGGGTCACCTTTGAGTGCTCTGTGCAGTGCTCTCCCCTGGCCATGCTTAGGAAATACCCAGGCAGAGCTGGCACCCTGGCCGCTGTAGCCCCATGCCCGTTTCATCCCAGTCTCTTTCTGTTTCATCACTGGTTTTTGTCCAGGCTTGTAGGAAAATCAGCTAACAGTGCTCCCAGTGAAAGCACAATAAAGAAAACTTCCAATATTCATGATTTTACTGCAGGAACTTGCACTCTTGCTTGTGCTGAAGCCCTACAAAAAGTCAGGCTGTGCCCTGACTTTGGATGGTGGTTCATTACAATGATAATGCGATGGAGGAGAAACTTCTTTGTCCTTCCTTTCTCTTACCTAGTGTGTAACTTTCAAGAGACTCTGTTTGGTGATTGTGGGAGGTGGTGTTTGAGGGTGTTTGGGAAGAAAGGGTAAGACCTTGGCAGAGAGACGTTCACACGTTGGCTCATTGGGTCCTCACAGTGGCCCTGAAATAGCTTGACCAAAAGATGGTCTGGGTCGGAAGGTTAGCAAGACGACAACTCAGTGTGTTCAGGGTTGTTTCCACTTTGATTTTCCAGTGAAGCAGTGAACAAACTGTCCAAAGGTTGTGCAGAAGATAAAGTTCCTAATGAGTGGAGGTAGCTCCTTGGAGAAGCTGAGAATTCACTGTCTTTTATACCTTTGGGTCAGAGAGGGGCTATGCCAGCATTCATGGGTCTTCTACTGCCTTCGAAAGGATTCCTAGCCCTCGGGCACATACATACTTCTGTGTTCTATTTCTACATCATTAGGGCTTCAACAGACCTTCCTCATAACCTACCATAGACCCCGTAGAGTAAATACCATGATTTGACAGCTGAAAGAGGTGGAGTGATTACAGTTAGTAATGGTAGGGCCAAGATTTAAACCCAAAGCTCATGCTCTTTGGATATGGCATTAGAGGTCATCTAGTTCAATTTTTTAAATTTTACAAATGAGGAAATAGCTCCGAGAGGTAAGGTGACTTGCCTAAGGACACACAGTTTGTTATTAGCAGAGTCAGGACTAGAATCCATGTCCTGAGAGTCCCAACCAACCACATTAGCCTGCTGTCAGCTAAGAGGTGGACCTGACTGGTCCTATCAGCCCACCATCGGTCAACGGCACCATTTACAAGCAATGTCATCCTGGTGAGCTGTTAATCACTAAGAGAGAAGTGTCGGGTTGGGAATTGGCCACAGTGCTCATCACAGACCTAGTTTGCTAATGTGCTGATGGTGCTTGCACACTCTCTGGTTGCTACACAACCAGAGTCCCTGGAGGCTCAGTACCCAGTGCTGGAAACATTTCGGTAATTTATTTCCTAGCTTGGTGAGTTTCCATTTTCTCCCATATAAGGGAAATTTATTTGAAAAGAGGCCATTTATTTCAAGTGATGAAAAACCCCTCTATTCCCAAAGTCTCTCGTGTCAAGAGTCCTGGGTTGCCCAAGTGGCTGAACCACAGTGACTGCTGGGATGGCCACATTACAACAGGCAGATGGGAGAGGCAGCTTGAAGTTCATCCTTACAGTCCATGATACCATATTTTTCTTTTTAATACATTTATTTGGTGTTTCAAGTAAGGTATAGTATTTTCCTAAATATTTTCGACTAATTATCAGTGATAATTTTTAAAAATTTAAGTGTGACATTCAAAAAGGGTGGGCCATCTCCTTAAGTGGATGTGACGAATTACAGGGGCCCCTTGCCTTTTCTCTCTTCATTTTATGTTACGTGCACTGGGAAAATAGGATTCTCAGAGCAGAGAATTATTTTTTTGCACATTTACCTAGAATGGACTGACACTATTAGGTATTTCCTATGTATATATGCCTATGACTTAGAGAATTTTGTATTGAATGTAGTCTCATTCCAATATTTAAAAATTGCAGACTCTCCTACCTCTGTGGTGGGGCCAGAGGGGACTCTCATGGCACCCTGGACCATGGAAGTGGCTGAGTGTAGTGGGTACCCTTGTAGCCTTGGAGGTGGGGTCACTTCCTCTCCCTAGGTCTTGGTTTCTATATCTTATTTTCTAAAAAGAGTGAGAATTATTATGAATGTTTTTAAAACTTTCAGCTATAGAACCTTCTCTTTAAATAAACATTCTGAAGCCCAAGTATGTAAACTAGATAAAAGGTAGAGGTGCAAGTGGGGCCTGACAGCTCAGCTTTTTCCTTCTATCTGCCCAGGCTCTTTCTAGCCCCCAGGTCCTGCTCAGACCCCTGCCCAGGCCAGGGCCATGTCAGGTGTGGACACCAGCAGGCTGGCTGGTATCAAAGCCCCTTTGAGCTTAGTGATTTTTAGAAAGTGTCTCATTCACTCTTCAAAATATTTCAAAAGAAGGAAGCCTATTTCTCTCAGTTACCTATCCAGTTGCTTTGAAAAAAACTGAAGATGGAGACTGCTTTTTATATTGGTTAAGTAACATCAGTAGAGACTTAAAAAAATTGTGATATATGATTATTTGCTAAATACTGGCAGTTTGGTAAATACTGACAAACAGAAAAAAGAAAAAAATGCATACATTTTGCAAAGGCAGCCACTGTTAATTTTTAAAATGTAAACGTGATAGAAGTCAGACATGCAGAAAAGTGCACACGTCATACGTGCACATGAGTTTTTACAAGGTGAACACACCCATGTTATCAGTACCCAGATCAAGAACACTTTATAGTTAATGAATTTCCTGAGTCTTTTTCCTCTGCATAGTTTCTTGTTTGCTTTTATTTAGTCATGATTATTCTGTATCTATAACTCTAATTCCCGCCTTTTAACTTTAGTATTAATTATAAAAAAGCATTTTTCACATTATTACAAATTCTTTGTGAGCCTCACTTTCTTTAGCTGAAGACTCCTCCACTAGGCAAATGTACCCAAGTTCATTTAACCAACCTCCTATTACTGGGCATTTGGGTTGTTGCTTTGCTTTTATGAAAAGCAGTGTTAAACATCTTTGTGCATAGGTTTTTTTTGCCATAGCTAGGTTATTTCCTTACAGCATATTCCTGGAAGTAGGCTTCCTGGCCAGAGCGTCTGCATACTCTGGAATCCAGAGTGTAATGACTGCCCTCCGTGATCTCAGGCCGGCAGGACCCAGCGGAGCTCCAGTGAGGTCCTGCTGGGCTCCCGTCCTGCCTAGTGCCGGCCTGGCGAAACCCTCAGGAATATTCTATAGGTTGTTTATCCCATTTGGATAAAAGGCTAAGAGCCAATGGCAGACTTGGAGCCAAGTATCAATCATTTATCATAACAAGGACAGGAATAGCCTGTCGATAGAAAAAGAAACCCAAGGAAAATCCCCAGGCCTTGTTTTTGACTTTGGTTTCCCCTGCCGCCTCCCGGCCCTTCCTGGAGGCGCTGACAGTGGTGGGGCTGAGGGAGACCACCTTGCTCCCACCGTGGGGTGGGCCCGCAACAAGCTCCTAGGCAACAAAGTGGGAAGCAGGAGGGAGGAGATGAGCGGCCGCACAGCCCCGCAGTGAAACGGCCCTGCAGGAAGGAGACCTGACTGCGCCTTTGAAGATCGCTATCACCCCCTCATCTTTCTTGGGGCTGTCAGGTGACTTTCCTCAGTTACTGAGCCATGGCTTTGGGCCCAGAGCTGAGCAGGGTGAACGAAGCTGTGATCAGAGAGATGTCTATCTCCTTCCTGTTTAACATCGACTTTCCTGTCAGATGAGTCACTTGTGCCCAAGTGGTGCCCACGGCTGAGCTATGAGAACTCACCAGGGTGGTGCCAGTGGACCCAGAGGTGTTGGGAGAACCCGGGAGGATGGGAATTTGTAAGCCGGAGGAATAGGAGGGCTGTTCAGGGAGCAGTGTGGCCCTTTTCCTGCTGTTAAATGGCAGTTGCAAATGGTCTGCCTCCCGCCAGCCTTAATTTCACTGAGAGGCCCATTTCCTTCCCCATCAAAAGAATATTCTCTCCGACTCTTTTAAGTGAGTGGATTTGGGGCTGATGGTGTGTGCCTCCGGGCAGCCTCTGGAACGGGATGAATTAAGTTCTCAGTGCTACAAAGGGACACTCATGGCCATGTGTGCCTCAGTTTCTCCATTTGTAAACTTGTAAACAATACGTATCTATTCTCTTGGGATGTTTCTGCACCCCCCCCCCC